TTAATGACAGTTCTTATTTTTTACTAATGAATATGTATTTTTCTTTATAAAACAAAACAAACTAGTATAAAAAAACCTTGTATATTTCTATTCTCTCTAAATTGTTTAAAGTTCGAATATAGATTGTATTTTGAAGGACAAAAGATTTACTTTAAAAACTTTTAAATCTTGGAACTTTGCCGATACGATGAACACAGAAAAAGAGAAGACTTACGTTATTAAAATCAAATGTAAGTTATGTGATCTTATTCAAAATAAAATATTATCCAAAAACAATGGTGCCGTAAGGGCAGCTGCCCAAAGGTTTATAAATAACAAAAGTCATGTTAAAATATTTTAACATTTTAATTAAGTTGATATATAATTAAAAATAAAAATATAGTTCAATAAATAAATTAAATTTGCTCTTAACAAAGATTACCTCATATTCTTTTTTTATTTTATTAAGTTAAATTGCTTACAAACAAAAAAAAAAAAAGATTTGTAATTATACGTAGAATGAAAATACTTTTGAGTTTGTTTATAAGTTAAGGAACTTAAGTTTCAATAAACAAATTTTTACGAACGTTTATTATAAACAGATACGATTCAAATTATTAAATATACTTAAATTATTTTAGTTGAGTATTTTTTTAAGTTTGCACGTTTAAAGTTTTGCGTAGAAGTATTTGATTTTTTTGTCTTATAAATAATTAACAAAAGAGTTTGCATAATTAAAACTTTTATATTAAATTTAATTTTTTAATTTCCTAAAACTTAAAAAAGAAAAGATTTAATCGTTAAAAACGATTTTTCTCTATAGCTCTGTTTCTTTGTGATTTGTTTAAAAAGTAAAATATATTTACAATAACGTAAAAAATTTATGAATTAAATTTTTGGCGAACGCGTTCTAAACTATGTATCAAAAATATGCTCCAAGCTGACAAAACTCTTTTATATTTTTATAAAACGCAAGTTTAAACGCGAAGCAAGATAAATTTAAAAAATATTTAAAAACCTAAATTTTTGTTTGCTACTCAAAACAAAATCGTTGTTTAAATAATTAACATGAGTTTGTGTTTATCAATGTTAATATTTTTTGTTTACTCTAGAAATTTTTTAAAATAAAAAAAATCATCATTATTTTTTATTCAATAACGATTAAAAACAATAATTATTCAAAAACAAATTTCAGAAATAATTAAAAAATATATATATTTTTTTTACTAAATAATATTGAACTAAAATTAATAATAACAATTGAAAACATTACAAAATTTTCGTAATAAATTTACATTTAAAACGTTTATAGTTATTTGAGTTAATTGTTAAATTGAACTAGTTTGCGGTTATTTATTTATTGCGGTAGTTAAACTTAACGTCTATATAAAAAAATAAAGATAATTTTATGACGTCAAAATCGCGTTAAGTGCAAAATGCATTAAGCACTTTTCTATTTAAAACAAGGCCTATATATATATATATATATATATATATATATATATATATATATATATATATATATATATATATATATATATATATATATATATATATATATATATATATATATATATATTATATATATATATATATATATATATATATATATATATATATATATATATATATATATGTATATATATATATATATATATATATATATATATATATATATATATATATATATATATATATATATATATATATATATATATATATATATATATATATATATATATATATATATATATATATATATATATATATATATATAACTTTTAAATATAATATAGTATTTATACATATATAACTTTTAAATAAAAAACTTTTTTTAAACTTTTAAACAACATGTTTCATAGATATCAATTGAAATCATAAGGTATAAAAAATTTAGAAACAAATTCTGTATATAAACAATTTTTTTCGGCATACATAAAAACATACACATACACAGGGTGTTTGTCAGGAATATATTTTATACCCGTATTTTGGGAATATTTATTGTTATTGCTCTTCAAAATACTGGGCATTTTTATTGATATTGTTCCAATACTACATTTAAAAAAAGGTCATAAAGTTTTTGAAATTTTAACCAATTAGAAATTCAGTGGAATATGGGTTGTTAACATTTTGATTATAATTTGTTAATATAACTCTCAAAAATTTGAAAAAAAAAAACAAAACAAAAAAGATTTGTCTAAAACAGAAAATCTAAATTTATTATTAAAAAAATAATAAATAGGGCAAAAAAAAAGGAAGAAATATACCATAATATAAATGTAATGTTAATTAAGACATGTAGTTTGAACTACAATATGGAATAATGATAAATCTTTAATTATAAGGATAACAAATACACTTATTTACTGGATCTAAATTATTTACATATGTTGCAGATTTATAATAAATACCAATACCAAGCGAAGAAGATTCATAAGGTCTGATTGTATTTAAATTATAATATAACCAGATATAACCAGAAACTAAAATAGCTGGGCCACTCAAAACATTTGTAATTAAAATAATTCCTTGTGATGTTATACAACAATTGTCCGGCGGTTTACAACGAAAAGAAAGAGGCATTACTCTTTCACTTATAGAATGACTACGGATATTTCTCATATTACTTAAAAGATGAGGAAATATGCTAGAAGTATCTTTAGTTTTACATTTTAAAACTGATAAGTAATTTTCAAAGCGGAATGTAGAAAAGTAGTCGAGAGGCTGTTGATATAAATTAACAAAATATGTTAAAAGTAACAAAACATGAAAATTATATGACATACACTTTGGTGTAAACAATTCTGGACATTTAGCAACAAAATGACTGATACAACCTTTAGCACAATCTATATAGTCATTAAATCTGTTGGAACAAAGACAATACACTGCATAATGCAACAATAAAAAATGTTCATAATAATCTGGCAGCAAAGTCTTTTTTAACAAAAACGGCCCTAAATATAATTTTTTTAAAAAAACGATATTCTGTAGCTTTGTAATGGCACAGTTCTGATAAAGGTCTGATTTTGCAATGAAATTTACTAGGAATAAATTTAGAAAAGTTCTTCATAGTTTATGATACTTGCGACATTTGGTTTAAGCTTAATTTACAAGGAAGACGTGGATACTGAAAAACTGATGTAAAATAGAAAAAACATAACTTTTTACTAACACCAAGGCACACCAGTTGCTGGTATTCTGGAGGAAATCAAGAATGTAAACCAATACCTGATATGGCAGCTTAAGGTGATAAAATAACTTGATTATTTTCTTTCATATCACAATAATTAAAATCATCCCGCATATCATAATTACTTTTAAAATACAAAGTTCGATGATCAATAGTTTCAGCCTATTTTACAATATGAACATCCAAGTTTCGCATTAAAGTACTAGATACCTTGAAGCATTGCTCTTGCAGGTGCATCACAAACAAAAATTATACTATTGATAAGAAACATTACATTTTTATATACAAAACCTTGAGATTTTAATATTGACAACTCACCCCACAAATCTGTTATCAGAGTACACAAATCAGGTTTTACTGTACCACAATAAATGGATACTGGTAATGGAAATTTGCTTTTAAACTGTGGTATATACAAGAGTATTGGCCCTGCACAAAGCCCAGAACTTTTAAAAAGTGGCAAACTGTCTACATTGAAAATGAAATCTATAGTCGATGAAACATTAGAAATACCTTTGTCAATGCAATACTTCAAATTTTCAATACTTGAAAAATGAAAGAAATTTCCTTTAGCTAATTTTATAATATCTGTACTTTTAAACTGTGATTTTTTTGTCAATAAATAAATAGAATTTGGAGCATCAGGCACTCTAAACTTGATTAACAATTTTAAAAGATATAACATTGACTAATATTAAAAGTAATAAAAAACATAAGCAAATAATCTGCAATTGTTAGGATATTTTCTTTAAGGTCTTCTTTGGGCTCTGAAACCTGACTGTCACTGGAGTCTTTATTTTGCTCAAAACCTTTTTCATTTAAATATAAATCACTATCTAAAGAACTTAAACTATTTTCATTGTCATCATAACAAACATCAGATATAGAGAAATCGATTGCGAATAGGTCATCATTGTCAATTTGTGTGTTCCGAGTTGTATCTAAATAAAATATTAAAACTATATAATGATGGAAAAAACCCAGATAAACTGTGGAAAAAATCAAAAGTTTAATTTGTTATCACAGACAATAAAAACTCGCCGTTTACTTGCGTACTACGATTTTCGTCTAAATGAAATATTAAACTAAACTATAGCTATATAGTATCAAATAAACTTTTACCATTACATAAGATTAGATAAACAACAACAAAATTATATTTTTATATCATCAACGTTAAATGATATCAAACTTTGTTATAATAATATAAAACTTTAATTATCTGTTTCATAATATTTATATGTAAATAATTTAAATTATTTTTATTGATATAATTAAATAAGTTTAATATTATTTACCAAGAATTGTTGTAAAAAACGTTGACAATTCTGAATTTGCTCTTCGCCTAACAGAAAGATTTGATGCCATTAATAAAATGTAACTAGTTTATATAATAAGAAATATAATAATTACAATTTAAAAAATTTAATAACTTATTCTACAAATAGAGCGCTTAATATTCTTGAAGAACAAAGCAGTAATAAATTAGTAAATCTACTTTTCGTTCTTCGACAGTCTGATTCTCCCACAGAAGGTTTATGAGGAAAGTTTATTCAGCAGGTTTATCAAATATATATCTATATCTATCTATCTATCTATCTATATATATATATATATATATATATATATATATATATATATATATATATATATATATATATATATATATATATATATATATATATATATATATATATATATATATATATATATATATATATATATATATATATATATATATATATATATATATTAGGTTGACCGGAAAGTAATGTCGTATTTTTACGTCAAATTAAAACAAATAATTTTTTTATAATATTTATTTTTAATAAATGATATAATCACCCTCATTTTCCACAACCTTTTGCCATCGAGCGGGCAAACTTTCTATACCAGATCGAAAAAAATGTATTGGTTTGTCATTAAAATATCTGGAGATGCCATTTTTTAAGCAGTACAAAGTTTGAAATTTTTTGTCACTTAGAAAGTGCTGTAAGGATCGGAACAAATGAAAATCTGAAGGGGCGATATCAGGTGAATATGGAGGGTGGGGCAGCACCTCCCATCCCAATTCATTAATTTTTTCTAGCGTCCATCGTGCACAGTGCGGCCTTGCATTGTCATGTTGAAGAATGACACCTTTTCTGTTGACGATAGCCGGGTAATTCTCAACTAGAGCTTGGTTCACTCGATCCAATTGTTGACAATAAAGGTCCGCATTAACAGTTTGTCCAGGAATAAGCACTTCAAAGTGGACGATTCCGCGGATGCTCCACCAAACACACAGGAGCGCCTTCTTGGGGTGTAATCCCGGCTTTGCAGTACTGCGTGCTGGTTCATTTGGGGAGAGCCAATGCCTTTTGCGTTTTGGATTATCGTATAGGACCCATTTTTCATCTCCAGTGACCAAACGATCAAGAAACGGTTCTGCATGGTGCCGTTGAATCAATGCATTGCACGTGGTTGATCTGTTGGCTTTGTTTTGCACTGACAAGTTATGGGGGACCCAAACACCTGCTCTGCTGATTTTTCCTATCTGGTGTAAATGTTCTTGGATGGTCGACCAAGGTTGGTTAAGGGGGTTCGACAATTCTTCGATGGTTTGGCATGGATTTGCTTCAACTTCTGCCCTTAGAACGTCGTTGTCTAATGACATTGGTCTTCCTGGTCGATGGGCGTCAGAAAGATCAAAATTCCCAGATCTAAACTTGGAAAACCATCTTTGGCATTTGCGAACATCTAATGAACCTGGGTAAACATCACTAATGTTCTTAGTCGCAACTGTAGCGTTATTACCCTTGCGAAATTCAAAAAGCATACAATGACGAATATGTACTTCCTGTATTTCGTATGCCATTTCACTCCAATTTGCAAAGAAAACTATTTAATTTTAAATAATTTAGAAGTAAACAAATCACACTAATATATATATATATATATAACATATATGCAATATATATATATATTTATATATATATATATATATATATATATATATATATATATATATATATATATATATATATATATATGTATATATATATATATATATATATATATATATATATATATATATATATATATATATATATATAACAAATATATAAACTTGGAACCTACGGTTTACGCTTAGTATGCTGTTGTATATATAAATATATATATATATATATATATATAAATATATATATACATATAAATATATATATATATATATATATATATATATATATATATATATATATATATATATATATATATATATATGTATATATATATATGTATATAAGTATAACATATATGCAATATATATATATATATATATAACATATATACAATATATATATATATATAAGTATAACATATATGCAATATATATATATATATATATATATATATATATATATATATATATATATATATAATAAACATATATACAATATATTTATATATATATATATATACATATATATATATATATATATATATATATATATATATATATATATATATATATATATATATATATATATTTATATTCATATATATATATATATATTTATATATATATATATATATATATATATATATATATATATATATATATATATATATATATATATATATATATATATATATATATATATATATATATATATATATATATATATATATATATATATATATATATATATATATATATATATATATACAAATTTATAAACAACAAACATAGAAACTAGGAACCTACGGTTTGTGCTTAGTATGCTGTTGTATATAAAATATACAACATATAAAAATTATGTTAGTTTATTCAAATCAGCATACAAATCACAAACTGTAGTTTCATAGTTATGTTAGTTATATATGCTAACATTCGTGATGTAGTGATTAATTAGCATCGGCTTAATCAGCTACTTTTTGCACAATCAGCATTTTGCACAGATTGCATTTTAATATCTTTATCCCTCAGTATAATAATAAAATAATATAATATATATACATACATTTATATATAAAAGTATATATATATACATATATATATATATATATATATACATATATATATATATATATATATATATATATATATATATATATATATATATATATATATATATATATATATATATCAGTGTTTGGAAGAACGCGTTCCAAAAGGAACGGATTCCTGGAACAAATTCCTTTTTTGAGGAACGAAGCTTGGAACTGGTTCCTATTGATAAAGCAGAACGAGGAACGAGAACGAATTCTTTTTCTTGAGGGACGTGAACCAAAATTTATTATTTTTTGTTCACGTTCCTCAAAAAATATTTATTAATTATTCGTCAAAAGTTAAAGCTTTTCGTTAAAGTTAATCATCAATTCAAAAAACATAAAGCTTTGTACTTGTTATAGAACCAAAAATAGTACGTTTGGCCAACTTAAGGCGAACTTTGCCGCATGAGTTACTTTAAAAAGGCTAACCATAAAGGAGAAATTTTATTATACGCTGTTGTAGTAGGCAATATGACTTCAGTTGTTGAAATTGATAATGTTAGTAATAATGACACTGAACTTGGTGGTAAGTTTAAAAATAAAACACTTTTACTTTGTATCTATTTTATATTTTATTGATGTGCAAATTGTATTTCTTAAGTAAGTTTATTACGATTACACATGATTTGACTTAAGAACTTAACTAAAGTCATAATGTTTATTTAACTAAAATATTAATTATTTGTATAAATAATTAAACTATATAATGTTTTCAGGTGAATTTTGGCCCTGGAATGGTTTAGAGTCATTTTTTGTATTCAACAAAGCAAATGGTAACAATATAAATGCAAAATGCGTTTTGTGTGGCCCTTCGGGAAAATGTATAAATACAGCTAAAAATACATCATCTAATCTGAAACGGCATGTTAAGGTAAATAAGCATTCCTCCTATTTTAAAATCTTTTAAAAATCTTAAAAAAAAATAATCTAAAAATTATATTTGAGGATGTTTTTATAACATTACGTTTTTACATTTTAATAGATTAATTTATGTATCAATGTATATTTTCTAGAAGAATCTTTTAACGTCTTCAAATATAATATTTAGGTTATTATTTTGATAAGATTTCAAAATATTATGTATACAAAATAAGTACAAATGACATAATAATTAATTACATATTAAGTAATTATTATGTATTACTAATAAATAGTATTGAAATTTACTTATTATGTACTAATAAAATATTATGTAGTTAAAATAGATGCTGTTGTGCATTAACAGCGCATGCAAAATTATGTAAACATAATGTTTAGTATAATTTTCATCAATAATTTGCTGCAGTTTCATTTTAATTTGCTGAAATTTCTGATTAACTTTATATTTATTTAATGAAAGTTAAAAAAAAAATTTTTAATTTTAAATTTTTTTATTAAAAAAAATAAATTTGTTTCATTTTTAGAGAGTTCATCCATATAAAATGACTGCTTTTGAAAAAGCTATAAAAAAAGAAGGTAAAAAAAATGCTTCAGTTAAAAAAAAAATGGGGTTCATTGGAGAATGCAAAGAAGGATGCGGTGCAATCAAATCTTGAGAAATATGGAACTGATAAAGGATATGAGAGTTTTAAAATAAATCAAAAAGGTTTAGACCAACTTGTTGTAAATTTTGTTATTAGTGAAACACAACCTTTATCAATAATTGATAAACCATCGTTTGTAAATTTGGTGAAGTTAGGCCTTCCTAAAAACCTGAAAGTTATTTGCAGTAAAACTTTAAAACTACGTATTAATAGCCTTTATTTATCAATGGTTGAAAATATTACTTCAATACTTGGAGATATTATGTATGTTGCAACCAGAGCTGACTGTTGGAGTAAAGGTAAAAGAAGTTATATTTATTTATAA